CCCCCCATTCTGGGTGGACGGTGCCTTCGAGGGGCTCGTCGCCGCTTGCAAGTCATCTTGATACACAATTTTGATAGTGTACTAACAGAGGTGCCCATACCTTATCAAATCCTCTCGCTCTGAGCGCTGTTGCATATGTGGGTCCGATTCCAGGAACTTCAGCAACATCTGCGTCACCCAATGGACTGTCCCACGCGTTCATGTTTCTGACTGAATACACGATTAAACAATCTTCATATTGTGACAATAAATCATTTGTTTCACGAAGGATAATCAGTCGAAGTGATCATTCAAAATGGAGATATATCGCTAAACCTCGCATCGAATGCTAACGTAGATCTGGCATAGCCTTTGAAAAATTATGGAGTCACAGGGAGAATGCAAAAAGACATGGTACAAGGGTCGCATCTGCAAATTTTTATACAAGGCGAGCATAGGGCTCGGCGTAGCTGGCACCAAGTCAAGCTGGTTACCTTTTCGGGGAGAAAAGCAAAGGGATTGTTTTTCTGGGGTCCAGGGCGGAGCTCCGGAAAGAATTCGCAAAGAAAGTCTCGACATTCCAGTGCATAATGAGAACTATGTCACAGTATCTTGATTCCTTCTCGAGTGTAACCTATTTGAGTACCGTTGCAAAAATCAAGCTCCACTACATCATAGTAAAATGTAGTAGTCTTGCTTGACTAATTTATATGGCAATTGAGCTGTGTTGACATTGATGATAGGAATTTTATTGCTTCAAATATGCTACTAAATTATTTTAGAAAAATAGCAGAAAAATCAGTCCACGCTCCCATCCACTGTGTCCATGGACAGAGTTGAACCTGACTTCACCCGCCCTTTCTGATTTGTTTTGATTCCTTCTGCACTGCTTCCGCTTATTCTCTTCCATAAGATCACAAAGATTGTAGAATATGCAACACAAGCAAAGCTGTATTGCAAAATGCCTCTTGTACATAAGTTTTCTACAAATCTGGGGTCTAAATGCAGACGGTATGCTAAGTCTAAATTTGGCCGGTGGTATGCCACCGACATACCGGCGGCGACCGGCAGCATACCAGCTCTGGAACCCAATTGCGCCAAATAAACAAAAGCCTTATTACATACAAAACAATCTCATAGAGTAGAATGAATGTAAATAGAATCAAAATGAGATAG